TCCAAAAAAAACTCCCCCTGGGCCTCCGGCGCGTCCCGCCGGGGTCCCCGAAGGATCTTCCAGAGCCGGTTGCAGAGGGTTTTCATGCCCCAGACGGCTCCAAGATGGCCCAAGATGGCCTCCAATATGCTTTCAAGACGGCAAAGATGGCCTCCAAGACGGCTAAGATGGCCCCAAGATGCCCCAAAGACGGCCCAAGATGTACCCAAAACGGCATAAGATAGCCTCAAGATGGCCCAAGACGGCCCAAGAGGCCTCAATACGGCCCAAGAGGTCCCCAAGAGGTGCTCCAGGAAGGCCCGAAGAGGGTAAAATCATAGATTTGCCATTGGTTTTTGACAGATTTTAGTATTTGCCCGTTTCGGCTTTCCGACGGATCAAAACGGCCCAGGAAGCCTCCAAGATCGACTCAAGATCGCCCAAGAGGCCTCCAAGATGGCCCCATGACGGCCCAAGAGGCCCCCCAGACGGCCCCAAGAGGGCCCCAAGACTGCCCAAGAGGCCTTGGAGACGCCCAAGATGGCCTCCAAGACGGCCCCGAAGCGCCCCAAGAGGGCCCCAAGTCGGCCCAGAGAGGCCCCCAAGACGGCTCCCGACGGCGTCAGACGTGCCAGGAACCCACCAAGATAGCTGAAGTTGGCTCGAAACTGGCCCAAGACGGCCCAAGAGGCCTCCAAGAGGGCCTCCAGGAAGGCCAGGAAAGGCCCAAAACACTTAATTCTCCTTTCTAAAAACAAAATAGGATCTACCCCCCCCCCAGCGTTATCGCTACCCCTTTCGGGTATGTAAATCATATATGATTCTGACCACATGTCCATCCTAAATAAGAGTTTACCCTATCCCCGGGGGGCCGGGTTCCCCCCCTTGAGGTTCCCTTATAAAAAACACTATGCGGTGACATTTTTTGTTCGAACATAACACTTGTTCGCGAATCCCTTGCAAAAAAAGACGAAGTGCACACGCGCGCGTCGTCGCGCGCGCATGCCGAAATCCTTCAAAAACCTGCGGTGCCGGAAGGATTTCGCAATCGAGTTTCCAAAAAAAACATACAAAAAGACAGGGTTTCGCAACACTGATTTGCTAAAAAAGCTTCCGCGCAAGCTCTTGCGAAATCTTAAGAAAACCATAGGTGTTTCAAGATTTTCACAACAAAATGCTACCAAACGGGCTTCGCGCGCGCGCATGTCGAAATCTGTCGAACGCCCTTGCGCGCGTGCCGTCGCGAGAATCCTCTGCAAAAAAATAAGACGAAGTGCAGACGCGCGCGTCGTCGCGCGCGTATGCCGAAATCCTTCAAAACCCATCGGTTTCGGAAGGATTTCAAAATCGTGTGTCCAGAAAACCTACAAAAACACAAGGTTTCGCAACCACGGATTTTCAAACAAAGCGAGCGCGCGAGCTCTTGCATCGTCGTCGTCGTCGCCGTCCTCCCTCCTCCCGCGTCGTCGTCGTCGTCGCTTACGTCGTCCTCTGTCTTTCCTCGTGTGCGTCGTCGTCGTCCTCTTTGGCGTCGTGGTCGTTTCCGTCGTCGTTGTCGCCGTGGTCGTCCTTCCTCCTTCTCCCTCGTCGTCGTCGTCCGTCGTCGGCGTCTCGTCGTCGTCCCTCCTATTTCGTCGCCGTCGTCGTCGTCGTTGTCGTCGTCGTCTTCCCTCCTCCCTCGTCGTTGTCGTCGTCGGCGTCGCCGTCCTTCCTCCTTCTTCGTCGTTCGCGTCGTCGCCGTCCTCCCTCCTCCCGTCGTTGTCGTCGTTGTCGTCGTTGTCGCCGTCGTCGTCCTTCCTCCTCCCTCGTCGTCGTCTTCGTTAGCGTCGTCGTCGTCTTCGTCGTCGTCGGCGTCGGCGTCGGTGTCGTCGTCGAAGTCGTCGGAGACGTCGTCGGTGTCGTCGTCGTCGTTGTCGCCGGTGTCGTCGTAGTCGGTCTTAAGAGGTTTTGCAAACCAAGTTTCGGGTGGGTGGGTGGGATGTTTGCGCGAGCAGTGGAGATGACGACTTCAAGTTCAGCAGAGTGGTTTTCCTTTCCTTAGGTTTTTGACGGATTTTGACATGTGCTTCTGCCTTCCGACGGCCCGAGACGGCCCAAGAGCCCCCAAAGATCGCCAAAAGACCGCCCAAGAGGCCTCCAAGATGGCCCCAGAACGGCCCAGGAGGCCTCCAAGACGGCCCCAAGAGGCCCCCAAGACGGCCCAGGAGGCCTCTAAGCATTCCAATAGGGCCCCAAGTCGGCCCAGAGAGGTCCCCCAAACGGCTTCCGACGGCGTCAGACGGGCCAGGAGCCCACCAAGACGGCCGAAGATAGCCCTAAGATGGCCCAAGACGGCCCAAGAGGCCTCCAAGAGGGCCTCCAGTAAGGCCAGGAAATGCCAAAAACAAGTATTTTCCAAAAGTTTTTGACTGATTTTGACATGTGCTTCTTTTCTGCCTTCCGACGGCCCGAGACGGCCCAAGAGCCCCCAAAGATCGCCCAAAGATCGCCCAAGAGGCCTCCAAGCTGGCCCCAGAACGGCCCAGGAGGCCTCTAAGACGGCCCCAAGAGGCCCCCAAGACGGCCCAGGAGGCCTTTAAGACGCCCAAGATGGCCTCCAAGACGGCCCTGGAGCATTCCAAGAGGGCCCCTAAATCGGCCCAGAGGGGTCCCCCAAACGGCTTCCGACGGCGTCAGACGGGCCAGGAGCCCACCAAGACGGCCGAAGATGGCCCTAAGATGGCCCAAGACGGCCCAAGAGGCCTCCAAGAGGGCCTCCAGGAAGGCCCGAAAAGGCCAAGATCATTGATTTCCCATGAGTTGTTGAAGGATTGTAGCATTTTTTGTTCGGCATTCCGACGGCCCGAGACGGCCCAAGTGCCCCCAAAGATCGCCCAAGAGGCCCAAGGCGACCCCAAGAGGCCCCCAAGACGGCCCAACAGGCCTCCAAGACGCTCAAGATGGCCTCCAAGACGGCCCAAGAGCCCTCCAAGACGTCCTCCAAGAAGGCCCGAAAGGGTCAAAATGGCCTCCATACGGCCAAGATGACCTTCAAGATGCCCACGTGTTTCCCGAAGGCTTTCCAAACCGATTCGGGGAACACATGGTCCGATAGCTTGGCAGGTCTGGCCTCAACCTTCGGCCACATCGGCGCTTCCAAAAAGGCAGGGGGCGGCGGTGATTCGCCGTAGGCGTCTTCGATAAGAATAATAATACGAATCATCCTTGGTAAAAATGGAAATGGTAATGCTCATCATATTAATCAGAAGCATAAACATGATCATAAACACCATCAGACTCCCTAAGATATCCATAATCATCACCATGACAACACTAGCAGGTTAACAGAAATGGTAATCATAAGAATCATGACAGTCATAATGAAATGAGAACGATAATGACAACGATGCGAATATTAAGCATACTCCCAACCAACCCGTAGTAGTAATAACAATGATAGTGCCAGGAAAGATGGCAACTTCCATAGCATTCGCACGAATAAGAATAAGAAGAATACGAGTAATAAGAAAGAGTACTGAAACTGCCATTACTAATACGAGCAATGCCAATAGTAGTAGTAGTAGTTGTTGTTGTAATAATCGTAAGACTGGAATGATAACACCATACTTCTATCACGACTACAGTCACCAGGGTCCTCCCACTATAGTTCCCCTCCTCCTTCATATGGTTTGTTTCTCATCCTGCTGATGCTCCTCATCCTCCTCCTCCGTCTCTGCCGCCATTGCGGCTCCGAATGCCAGCGTTTGCCTCGTCGAGGTTGCAGCCACCTGGTAGCTCGGGTCTACCTGGGAACGTCTCCACCTAGGGTGTTGGCCACTCTAGGGCCCCGTTGCTGCCCCAGGGGCCCCGAGTGTCAGGAGGGTCTGCACCCTTCATCCGAAGTCGTCGTGTATGCATCCTTTCATATCATCCTGCCTGTTGTGCTCCAAACTTGCCCCCCGTCCTGCCAACGACCATCCCTCCTGCGCGGCTGGCGCACAGGCCCACGGCCGCTCCCCTCAAACTTCTGGCGTGCATTCGCGCTTCGAGCAATCACACCAGCACATGCGGTAACACGCACTGAAGAAAGAAGAAGGGCGACCCCCTTGTGGAACCTGGCAGCGCAGAACGGGAACCACTGTTGGCCGCTGGCCTGTTCTGCCTACTCCCGCGCTGCTGACAATGAGCCAATGGCGAGGAGCTGCGCGTGGCGCTCCACAGGCAGACTCGGGCAGGGCGCTGCGAAGAAACCTCAGCATCGACCTTCATAACACTGATGAAGAGAGCGACTGCAATGACCAAGTGCTTACCTAGGCAACATCGCGCTTCATGACTCATGACTGCAACACGGATCACCAGAGACAAAGACAGCACGCAAGCTTCATCTCTCTGATGCCGCACAATCCACAACGTGGTACTACAACTGTGGCCTTACATCACACCAGAAAGTTGCGTGTACAATATGGATGATCGTGACGACCGAGATGCCTCGCACACTAGCAAGTGCCCTGAACAGAGGCTCCCTCGTGCGATGATGCATCGATGCATGTGCGCATGAACACACGAACAAACGCTGAATAACTTCTGAGTAAGCGTACGCGCGCCTGTTTGGGATGCGAACAACACCTGGCTCCTCATCGAGTATATACAGAATCAGGGGGCACATGCGTGCCCCAAGGGCTATGATCACCATGTCTACAAGGATCAGGCGGCTCAGGCTCGCAGAAAACTTTGAAAATTCAACGGGGGGCAACCGCGATAGAAAGTCCCTCTGATCTGTTCAAATGGACCGTTGGGCGGCCTCCCCACTTCAAGGATAGGTAGGCCACAGTCCCTCCTACCTCCTCCCATAGAACACGTAACCTCGTAGGAACAACGAGCATGCGCACAAATGGGGAGTCAAACGAACTGACGGCCATGTGCAAGGCGCGCTACACCACGTTAACGGTTATCAACACTGGCACCTGCACAACGTCGCAGAAAAGGCTCTCATGCAGCCTGAGGAAAACACTACCGCTCAAATTCGCAAATTCTCGCGAACCCTAAGCCATCAGGTCGCGAACCGATGGCAACTCAAAGGTAACTCGTGCTGCCAGATTTACAAGCCGCCGGGGATTACCGAGGCAGGCGATAATGAGAGGATGATCTGCCAATCTGGGGATCAATACGTCCCTGGACAGCGGAGCACCTGAGTAAGGATCGGATCAAAATACACCTACGTCTCACACTGCGGGGTTAATCACAAAGACCACACTCTTTGCATGAGCACACAGGCGCGGAATGTTGGTCTCGCGGTGAGCCGACACATCTAAAACATTCGACGCCCATGCAACTCCAAAACAGTGCTTGCATTGAGGGGTCACAGCTTTCCTCGAAAGATTTGGACATGTGTGTCGCACTGCTTCCGATGGTCGCTTGGCATCCTGTGGTTTCTCCGCATGCGTGTCGTCCTCTCCCCGTGTGGACGACTGGCGTCCCTGGCCATCCTATGGATTCTCCCCGCGCTGCCCGAGTGTGTATATGTATGTGTGTGTGCCCGTCTGGTTCCCTTTTTTTTGTTTTTTATATTAATAAAAGACTGGCCCTGTCTGTCGCACTTTTCCTGGCGGCCGTTTGGATTCCAACGGGTTTCTTTAAATTCCTTGGTTTCGCCCGAATTTCTACAAGGTTGCGAACCGGATCTGGGTGTCGCAGTTTTTCTGGTCACCGATTGGATTCCAATGGGTCCTTTGGGCACATGTGGCTCTCCAAACAGCAGACCCTGTCTGCCGCACGTTCTGGTGGACGCTTGGCTTCCTCTGGCTTCCTATGGCTTACCCGATCACTGGCCCTGCCTGCTGGCCTCTTGGCTTCCTGTGGCTGTTTCCCCTGACTGGCCCTGTCTGTCGTACTCTCCGGTAGCCACTTGGCTCCCCATGGCCTCCTGTGACTTCCTGTGGCTTCCCAACTCCAGCGACCAAACGTGCCGCACGTTGCAATGGCCGCTTGGATCCATACGGGTTCCGACGGACTCCATTGGCTTCCACCCACCCACCCTAGCGGTCCTCAGTGGCACACATTCCTGCACACTCAAGATAAATCGCATGTGTTAGGCCCCACAGGTAGAAAATACCCCATGCATGGATGCACCGCAAAGATTGCACCGCATAAGTTGCACTCCATCAAATATGCTGCAAAGACTGCATGGGCCTCTGGTTGAGATCCGCGCGCTGGCATCACCACCTACTTTTCCGCTTTGGGGGGTCAAGCGGTGCTGCTGAGTTCCCGAGGCTTGGCCCTGGCCGAGCCTGGTAGATGTTGTCCGGGCGCCGCGGCGTCGAAGTCAAGCTCGGTGAGCGGACGGTGCACCCGGCTCAAGAAGAGGCCTTGGCTTCCGGTAGGCAGCATCGCTGACCACAAAGGTATGGCCTTGTCGCGCTCTCTGAGTCCCGCTGCGCATTTCGGCACTCGGTTCTTCACACTCCTTGGACAGGGGCCTGGATTGGATCCAGGGCCCTTCGAGTGGCCCTCAGCCAGGTCCTGGCCCTCCCAGACATCCCATGAATGCCAAGGACTGGCAGAATACTGCCACCAGAATACTGCCACCAGAATACTGCCACTAGTTCCACGGAACCACAGATCATCGCAAGACCAATCAGGAAGAAATCAAGGCACAAGGTGGAAGCAGGGAGGAACGGGAGGCGAAAGAAGAATATGAGTAAAGAAGAAGACGGTGAGGAAACAGGATGGAGAAGGCTGGACAAATTGAGGAGCAGCAGGGAGGACGAATCAGAAAAGGAGGAAGGAGCGCAGGAGGAGGAGAAGGCAGGGGAGCAGCCGGGAGGAGGAAGAGAAGGAGGAAAAGAAGGAGGAGGAGGAGGAGGAGGAGGAGGAGGAGGAGGAGGAGAAGGAGGAGAAGGAGGAGGAGGTTGGAGCGTCTGGGAGGGGGCGGGGGGCAAGTCTTTATCCCACCCTACGGCCGACGAGGCCTCCAGCGGGAGGCTCTGCCGAAGGGCAACCAGACGGCTTGCAGGGCGGCGAGCGCCAGGTTATGGACGGCCTCCTAAGGGCAAGTGTCGGATTGGGCCTTACTCATGTGGTGGGCCACACGGTGAAGATTGAAGTACATAAGAAGTACATAGCTGTATACATATAAAGGCATCGGGGGAGCTGTGGCCGAACCAAATCGCCAGACGGAGGTTCAAAAACGGTGGGCAGGGGCAGTGACATATCAGAGGTGTCGGCAAGGGCAAGCATTTACATGAACAAGTAGTAAGAAGAATAATGTTTTAAACTGCCCCGCTCCCACGGACACACCCAGTCGCAAGCCCTGCGTCTGTTGCGCATCCTGGACTCTGTGACCCACCACAACCACCACCACCACCACCACCACCACCCTTCCCCAAGCCTAGATGCCAGCCCTGCGTCGGGACTGGGGGGCGCGATGATCACCCCAGACAACGGTTGGCCAATCGAGAGCCTCCGCATCGGCCAAGCGGACCCAAAACCAGCCACGCAAACGGATGGCGAGGCGGCCCTGCGCGCGAGGCGGGGAAGGGAGGAGGAAGAGCCGAAGACCTTTGCACAAGGCGGCCTGCGGTCGGAGGCGCGGCTTGCCTCGGGGCCGCTCGCGGCGCTGCCCACACACACCCCGCAGCGCCGTCACGGCGGCCCGTCAGGCCGCGCCGCACTCACCAGCTGCCCCCTGCCCCAGCGCCGCCGCCAGCGTGGAGACGCGCCACGGCGCTGGCCACGGCTCGCCGCAGAGGACGCGGGCGAGCGGGGTGCGGCGCCCCCCTCTCCGCTCGGAGCACCCACACGCTGGCGTTCCACCCAGGATTCCACCCAGGCAGCCCGACGATCGCAGCGCGGGCCAGGGAGGCGTGGCACCAGAGCACGGCCAAGCGGACAGGCGGTCCGCCAGCGGACTCCAGCCCGAACCTCTCCGTGCTGCCCAGGCAGAAGCCAGGCCGCTGGAAGACCTCGGCCATCAGCCCACGCTCCAGCTTGGCCACCTGCGAAAAGTCCACGACCAGCTGGATCGCGCATCGTTCGGCGTTGAGGAAGACCGAGGCGAACGCGTCGGACTTCGAGCAGGCCACGTCCGCCACGCGGTCTCGCCACTTTTGGATTTGCGCCCGCCATGGGGCACGATCGCCTACCCAAGGACCTAGCAGGATGCTTAAGTACTCCACGACTGTGGCGACGGCAAAGGACGCCCAGTCGGCCTGCACCTCCACACCGAGGAATGGAGCCTGCCAAGCCAGCGCGCCCGAGAAGGGCTCGCCGACGGAGATGGCGAAGCACTTAATGAACTTGAGGTAAAGGCTCAATGCCAGGCGTGCCATCTTGAAGACCCTCGCGATGGCCCGCAGCCCAGCACGTCCATGGATACTCGCACCGACAGCGTCGAAACACGGAAGGGCGCGCAGGCGGGGGAAGGGGGGGGAGCGGAGAGATCTCAACCAGCTGCCCGCCGCGAAAGGCCATCGGGGCGCGTCGCGCATGTAGGGCCAGCGCGCGCAGCCGTCGTTCAGCAGCAGCCCGGCGGACAGCTACGTCGCCCCCGAAAGATCCCCTCCAGTAGCCAGCGACCGCCCGCTACACCTCCTCCGAGGACCTAGGGACAAGCCCTCAGGGACCTCCGCGGCAGCCAGGAAGCGTCGCGCAGCCGCTAGCGCCCACAGCGCGACACGGCGGCGCAGCGAACGCTGCTGTCGCACAGTCGCCACCCTCACGCTCTCCACGCGCACCTCCTCTAATTCGGCGGTGGACAAACCTCCCTTTAGTAAAGCTCCCTTTGGTGAAAACGGCCTGGGACCGAAACCGACGGACCTGGACCCGCAAAAATGACGGCCGCGACGCCCTCTCGCGAACCGAAAACGGCCAATTCGCTCATCGACGTGTCAGGGCAGGAGGTCTCTATCCACCCCCTTCTGACGGCGGTGCGCCACCCAGGCACGCCGCTGCAGCAGTCGGGCCGCCAGGCGCGAGCCCCGACGCCGCGCAGCGCAGCGCGGCTTGCGCCAGAGCATGGCCACGTCGGCATTGCCGCTGGAGGTCGACGCGCAGAGCGCAGCCCCGCGCCGCCTCCGCCGCGCACGGGAGCAGCCGCGCATGGATGCGGGCCAGCTCAGGCGGCGAGGGGCCTCCGAGCGGCACCGCCGCCTCGTGGGCCGCCGCGTGATTGGCGGGGGAGGGGTGCCACAAGACTCAATCGGCGAGGGGGGCGGGGGGACTTGGCCAGGACACGGGAAGACGGGCGCAGGAGATCCCAGGCCCTTCTCGTTCGTCTCTTTCGTCCCACGCCAAGTCGCGGAAGACTTGGCACCGGGCGCCGGTGCGATCCGTCAGGGCACGAAGCCGCACGGCCGACGCGTGGACGTCCTGCAGGATTCCTGCATGCCACGGATTGCCCCTGCACGGACGCACCCAGGGATGTACATGACCTCCTTCTTCGCCGCGTCGACGTCGTGGTGGCAGAGGGCGCGGGCGTTCCATGCAGCGGAGCACAGCTCCGCCTCCTTTTGCAGCGTGTCGAACAGCCTGGCGAAGGCACTGAAGAGACCAATGCTCGGACCGTGGGACCAGGATTAGGTCGGGCATGTCCCCCCACAGGGGATTTTGGGCGAAAAAATAGTCCCCTGACTGGTTTTTGACTATTTTTGAATATTCCCCCTGTAGATGGACAGGCCCGACTTACGACCAGGACCGCGGCGATCGCAGGCTCAAGGGCAACGCGCCGCAGCCCCAGATCCTGCAGCGCCGCGGCCGGCCAGTGGACCTCCGGGGGGGCCGTCGGGCTGTCGATGCCCGCCCGCAAGAGAGCCCTCCACGACGTGGAGAGGGCACGGCCAAGCCTTGTCTCCGCGAAGCTGTTCTTGCTCGCGCCCACCGCCCATGCCAGCGCCGACGCCAGCCTCTGCAAAGGGCAGAAAATCCACCCCGATAATAACCACCCCGACACGCGAGGCCTTTAGTAAACACGCCCAAAGAAGGAATCGAACAGGGCAGGGCTGTTTAGTAAACGCCCAAGGCCGTTTAGTAAACGCCAATTGTCCGGTCCGGGTGGCTTTTCTTCCCTTGACTCTGGACGAGCAGTTCGTCGAAGAAGTTCTGCTCAGCCGACGGACGTTCGCGCTCGCTTGCCCCGCTGGCCTCGTCCGATGCGCGGCGAGCTCCAATCTCAGGGACACCCAGGATGCGAAAGACGCAGCACCGCCCCGTCGCCTCAGCCCCCGCCACGAACGATCCCAGCGCCGGGCCTGCAGCGGCGATGAGGGGGGCGATCGTGTCCAGGAAGGCTTGCTTGGGCAGGTCCTCACGGCAGCGCGAGACCACCGCCACCTCATCGGGGGCGCGATCCCAGTCGGGACCAGAATGGGGCGCCAGGGGCTCGGTCGCATAGATGCGCAAGATTCTCGTCTCGGACCGCATCTGCTGTATGTCGGCGAGCAGATGGGCGCTAATCGACCTCCTCCGCGCTACTCCACCGCGCCGACGCGATGCTCCATGATCGTGGTGGTCTGGGAAAGGCCCACTGGAGGGGAGTCCATGATGGTAATGATTGCGGACTGTGCCTGCTGCAACATCTGCTGGGCGCCGGTGTACTGCCGAAGCGGCTGGCCGTCCGTTGGCTGAGGCTGAGGAGGCCCAGGAGCAACATCAGGAGCAGCCGCCGCGTACATCGGCGGGAAGCCCAGCCATTGCCCAGGCACCGCTCCAACGGGGACAATGGGCTGCCCGCCGCGCGCGCGCGGAGTACTGCACCAAAGCGTCGGGGAGGACTCTGCCAGTAGCGCCAGGCGCAGCAGTAGGGGCGTCGCCTGCGATCGGCGTCGCAGGAGGCAGTCGGTCCTCCTGGGACGGGAGGGTGGGGGCTGCTCCGAAGGCCGCCATGAGGGCCTGATCTTCAGCTTGTACACCAGTAGCAGCCGCCGCATCTCCGCTAGGAGCAGCACGCTCAAGAGGACCTCTGGCAGCACCGCGGCGATCGCCACGGTCAGCACGGGCAGCGCCACCGCACTTGACCTTCTTGCGCTCGGGGTCCTCACGACGGCGGCGGGGCGGCGAATGGCTGCTACTGACCACCTCCCCGCGGTGGCCACCACGCCTGCGGTGCCCGCGGCTGCACCCACTCTCAGGACTGCGTGCGGGAGTGGTAGCGGGAGGCGCTGGGGATTCTGCGACCGCTATCCACGCGATACTCAGCAGCGCCGTCACGACCAGGGCGGTCGTCGCAAGCGCCAGGAGCAGCGGCCCGCGCGGGCCACATCGCTGAGAGCAGAATGGCGCTGTGGATGCGGCGACGGAGGACGAACCCTCAACCGCTGAGCGGATCGCCGAAGGGATTGCGTGAGAGAAAAGCTCTGGGGTATGGCCTCTGATCCTCCACTTTAGGCCCCAAGGGAACTAGGCATCTTGAGTCAAACTGGCGACGGGGAAAAAGGAAGAGGAGAAGGAGGAGGGTACGGCGGAAGATGGGGACAAGGCGAGGACGACGACGACGACGACGACGACGACGACGACGACGGCGACGGCAACGGCGACCACGACGACGACGGCGACGACGACGACAGCGACGCCAGCGGCGACGGCGACGCCGGCGACGGCGATGGCAACGGCGACGACGAGGACCACGACGACGACGACGACGAGGCCCACGACGACGACGAGGACGACGACGACGACGACGACGACGACGACGAGGAGGACGACGACGACGACGACCACGACCACGACGGCGACGACGACGACGACGACGACGACGACGACGACGACGACGACGGCGACGGCTACGGCGACGACGACGACGACCACGACGACGACGACGACGACGACGATGACGACGACGGCGACGACGGCGACGACGGCGACGCCGGCGACGGCGATGGCAACGGCGACGACGAGGACCACGACGACGACGACGACGAGGCCCACGACGACGACGAGGACCACGACGACGACGACGACGACGACGACGACGACCACGACGGCGACGACGACGACGACGACGACGACGACGGCGACGGCAACGGCGACGACGACGACGACGACGACGACGACGACGACGACGACGACGACGGCGACGGCAACGGCGACGACGACGACGACGAGGACCACGACGACGACGACGACGACGACGACGACGACGACGACGACGACGACGACGACGGCGACGGCAACAGCGACGACGACGACGGCGACGCCGGCGACGACGAGGAGGACGACCACGTCGTTGCGCAGCCCCCGGGCCCCAGATGGGGTCCGACCGCCCGCCCTCCTCCTCCTCCTTCCCCTTCGCCTCTACTTCCTCTCCTCCATTTCGTCATCCTCCTGGTCCCTCTCGCCGTCGTCGTCATCCTCCTCGGCAGTCATCCTCCTCGTCCACACCTGGGCGTCTCCTCCTCCTCCTGCTCCTCCGCCTCCTCCTCCTCCTCCTCCTCCTCCTCCTCCTCCTCCTCCTCGTCCTGCTCCTCATCCTGCCCCTCGCTGTCGACCTGCTCCTTTTCGTCGTCCTCCTCTTCGTCCCCGTCGCCGCCGCCGCGGTTGCCTGGCCCCTCATCGTCGTCCTCGACCGCCGTCCTCGTCCGCCGTCGACGGCGCCGTCGCCGCCGACAACGCCGCCCTCGTCGACGATCGCCCGATCGGGCACGCTCGCGCGCGAAGAGGTAGCCAGTCTCCGAGGGGCGCGACGCGCGCCCTCGTCGCCCGATAGCGGCGGGAGGCCGAAGTTCTGGGGCTTCCAGCGGTCCGTGCCTCGGCGCCCGGCGGCGGCAGGATCGAGGCTCGAGGATCGAGGACAGAGGACCGAGGTTCAAGGCTCGAGGATCGAGGGTCGGGGCTCGAGAATCGAGGCTCGAGGATCGAGGACCGAGGCTCGAGGCTCGAGGCTCGAGGATCGAGGCTCGAAGATCGGGGACCGAGGTTGGACGCTCGAGGACCGAGGATCTAGGCTGGAGGCCCGAGGACCGAGGTCCGAGGTTCGAGGGTCGACGTTCCTGGCCCTCTCTGGGCCTCTGGGGGCCTCCGCAGAGCCGCCCTCCGCCGCGGGGAGGCGGTGGCGGCGGCGTCAGGATCCCAAACATCCAACGCACGGAGAACACCAAGCGGCAGTTTTGCAGTTGTTCGGCGGGTGTGGGCCGCTTCCGGGCCCTGGGGCCGTTAAAGACCGGCCCCGCCCCAGTTAAGGGGGCCCGCGTCGAAACCAAGACTACGCCAGAGGTTCGAGATCGAGGATCAAGGCGTAAGGATAGAATGCTTTTGACGTTCTGGCCCGTTTGAAGCCTCGAGAGGCCTCCATAGACGTCCGAGGGATGACCTCCAGAGACCTGTGGAGACTTCTGGAACGAGGATCGAAGAGAACCAGGTCGGACTAAAGGGGGGGAATTACAAAGGGGGGTTTACTGACTCAACGCAAGTAGCTGTTTATCTTGATCCTGGCGCTGGAGGGGCCAATGTATCGAGTAAAGGCGACCGGCGGCGGGACCGAGACCAGCTGCATGCAGCACATGTCGCAACCCCCTCGTTCCCTGCCCTCCCCTGTCCCCCGGAGGATGCATTGAAATAAGAAGAGAGGGGGCAGCATCATGGCCCAGGCCATGATGTCTACCCCGCCAGGCATCACTCCCCTCTTGGCCGCCCACGAGAGGATTGAGGAGAAGGGATTCCGCACCGAGGGTCGACTCGGGCGTTTGAAAGCCATTTGGCCACCGTGGGGCCCCTTTGTCACCGCGGCTAGGTCCGGCTCGGAATCATGGCCCGAGCACCCCCCAGGCCAGGCCACGGGGCCGCCGGCCGCCGCCGCTCATCTTCCTCCTCCTCTTCCAACTTCTGCTGCTGCGGCGGCGGCGATGACGACGACGACGACGACGACGACGACGACGACGACGACGACGACGACGACGACGACTCTCGACCCAACTTAACAACTCTAGGCAAGGCAAGCGCGCGGTGCATTGAGGAGGAGTGCGCCAGAGCAGAGCCATGGTGGGTGGAGCAGCTCGGTCACATGGGCCGCCGCCATAGCCAACTCGGGTAGACAACACAAGCGCAATGTCCCCCACATAGAGGAAGGCCAGATTGCCTGGGACCTGCGGCGTGGGCGCTCGCGCCCGCCCACCGACCACCGCGGACGCCCAAGACTTCGGAGGGGCGGCGCACAGACGCGGTCGTGCAGACGGGTGGACGCGGTCGTAGTGACCTGCAAACTTGCAGACCGATGGTGGGAGCATTGTATAGGGCACCATCGGATAAGGACCCAGGGTCTGAAGCCGGTGGAACTCCAATCGCGGTTTGACCATGGATATCACAGCCGTCCCCATCAGATAAGGAATCCCCCAGGGTCTGGAGCCTCCTAGGCACATTCCTTAATCAACGCCCCCACCGTACTCGTGGACGTGCACGTGGACGTGCTCGTGCGGACGCGGTCGCGCAAGCGTCGCTGGAAGATCAAGACCAGATCGACAACACACGTGGTGGACAAGGCGCGCGAGCCGTGCGATCCAAAGCCCCGCGCCCTCCAGCTTGTAGACAGGCTGGCTGCGCACCTGGGAGCCGAAACACATCTCACCTCCCTAAAGTCCACTCCTGGGAGAAAAGAACTGCAAGACGTGGTGGGAGTGTCCCCCCGGCGGATGCGACGACGACAGCGACGAGGAGGAGAAAAAGGTGAAGGGAGGGAGAGATGACGAGCGGTGCGTCAGACTTCTTGACTGCAGAACACCCCCAAGTCGACTCTGCCGTCGCTGCGTGGAAACGCAAAACCCCAGGCGACGCGGCAACGTGGCACAAGCCAAACCTCCGACACGCGACTCGTCCACTGAGCAGTGACCCGGGGACGAAGTGAGCCCTCGGGGCGTCAGTCCCCCGCTCCTCCTCCTCCTCCTCCTCCTCCTCCTCCTCCTCCTCCTCCTCCTCCTCCTCCGCCTCCTCCTCCGCCTCCTCCTCCTCCTCCGCCTCCTCCTCCGCCTCCTCCTCCTCCTCCGCCTCCTCCTCCTCCTCCGCCTCCTCCTCCTCCGCCTCCTCCTCCTCCTCCGCACACCCCCACCCTCGTCCTGCCCACGGGGTGCCTGCATGCCTCATGCCCCTTCCCGCCCTTAAGCACCAGCAGCAGGTGTAGCCAGGGGTTACCCTGCAGTAGCTCGGCGGCCAGCGCGTCATGCCAGCCGAGGTGCTCCTCCGCCTGGTCGACCACCAGGCACGCGCTGTCGGCGGGGCTGCCCGAGCACAGCCCAGCCGCCGCCGTCTGGAGCAGCCTCGACGCCCTCGCCTCTGAGGGGAACATCAGGGGGGGGGCCTGGCTCAGCAGGGGGGGACACATCGAGCTGGAATCAGCAGATCGGCGGTGGCCCCCGATGTCGAATCCGCACGCTCCTTGGCGGGGCAGGCCAGTTGGACCCTTTCGGCGATCAATGGGCCACTGGGGGTCGATGCGTCACCACCTGAGCCCATCTCCCCGTGGCGTTGCCCCTCGGCCTCGGCGCCCGCCCCGCCGGCGTCCTGCAGCGAGACGAGCGCCAGCCGCTTCTGCCGGCCCTCGCCGCCCGGCGCGCGGACGTCGGAGAAGCGGCGCCCTGGCGCGGCCGCGTAGCGGCAGAACTCGGCCGCGAGGGCAGACTTGCCGCTGCCCCAGGCGCCGTGCAGCACCACCACTCGGCGGCCGCCCGCTGCTCCCAGCAGGCGCAGGAGCCAGCGGAGCTCCCAGGCGCGGCCGACGAAGTCCTCGCAGTCCTCCAGGGCGCCGCCGGGCTCCTCGCCCGTGGCGGCCGCCCACGCCGCGCTGCGCCCGGGCCCGGCGGTGCTGGCCGAGGACGGAAAGCGCCCGACGGACGTGCACTCGGGCAGGCTGCCGCCTGGTAGGCAGGCACCAACCATACACCAACACCGATCCCAGGCCAGGATCACCCTGGGCCCAGGATCGGTGTATATGCCCTCCTGCCCTGGGCAGAATGCATATACACCGATCCTGGGCCTGGGATCGGCCTGGCCAGGATCGGTGCAGGTGTATAGTTGGTGCCCTCCCACCTGGGGCAGGGGCCTGGGGGGGAAGCAACAGGGTGCCGATGACCGCTGTCCTCCGGACCTCTCTACAGGGGCGCGTCCTGGCCAGGATGCCAACACGCGAAAGCCGGCCGCGGCGACGAGGGCCCCCTGGAGAGCCCCCCCAAACAAGGGCAGAGGCGGGGGAAGCGCGGCAGTGTCGGTATGCTTTTCCGTTCTGAGGGCCAGGGCGTCGTCGGGAAGCCTGCTCGCGCCAGGGCCCTCCAGGAGGAGGATGCTGTCAGCCTACGGGGGCGCGCTGGGCGCCGCCGCCGCCGACGCCGCATTCGTCGCCGCTCTCCGCGCTGCCGCCCAGGCCTTCGAAGACATCCGAGGGCCACCGCCGAGGGCCTCTCCGTGGCAGCCGCCGCCGTCGTGATCGGCGTCGGCGTCAATGTGGCCGCCGCCGTCACCGTCAGCGTCGTCGTCGTCGTTTTTTCGGCGTCGGCGGCGTCACCGACGACGACGACGACGGCGAAGAAGAAGAAGAAGAAGAGGTGAGGGGGAACGTCAGGCGCGGGCCGGCTCAAGGTGGAGACATCGAGCTGCAATTGGCGACACATCGCCGAAGGATCGCCGACAAGCCCGCGATGGCAAATCCGAGCATTACCCCTCAAGAGGGTGTTGTCGGCTGAGGGCCCGTAGGCGGGGACTTTGCTACACCAGACATGTGCGCGCCTGAGAAAACTGCATCCGTGGGTCCCTGAGCATTCTCCACTCTTCGCTCTCTGCCAGGTAGAACTTTCCAAGTCCTGGTCTGCGGGTCGATGCATCCCCCCGGCGTTGCCCTGAAGATGACCGGCGACGACGACCGAAGATGACCGACGACGACAACAGAAGATGGCCGAGGACGGCGGCGGCGGCGCTGGCTACTGCGGCGGCGACGACGGCGACGGTGGACGACGGAAGCCGATGACGCCCCGCGCCTGCGGCAGCGGCGGCGACGACGACGAGCCCATCCCCCCCGGCGGTGCCCATAAAGAGGGCGCCACGCCTGCGGGGCCACTCCGGGCGCCGCGCGCAGCAGCGCCAGCGCCGCCTCGAAGGCCCCCCGCACGGCGGCGCGTTCCAGCGAGGAGGGCGACGCGCGGGACGCCTGGCGGCGGGGCCCGTCGTTGTCGCCGCCGCCGCCGCCGTCGTCGACGCCGCCGTCATCGACGTCGTCGTCGTCGTCGTCGTCGTCGCCGTCGTCGCCATCGTGGCCGTTGCGGCCGTCGTGTCGTGGCCATCTCGTCGTCGTGGCGCTCGTCGTTGCCGTCGTGGTGGTCATCGTCGTTGCCGTCGGCCGCGCCAGTGTCGTCGTCGTCGTCATCGCCGTCGTCGTCGTCGTCGTCGGCGTCGTCGACGTCGTCGCCGTCGAGGATCGAGGGTCGAGGTTCGAGGCATCGAGGCTGGAGGATCGGCATTCGACCTTTTCGATTTGGGGAAACCACGCCGCAATGGCTGAACCCATTCCAGAATTCGCACCGGAAACCACACGGTATCGATGTGCCCTGACGAACGAGGACCGAAGATCGAGATTCAGAAATTTCACGCTGCAGGAGGAGGAGGAGGAGAATTAAGGATCGACCATCGAGGTTTCGAGGAGGTGTTCCACCATCTTCGGCGTCTGGGGGCCAGTTCTGGAACCCTGAGTCGTCAGAAATCTATCCAGGGTAAAAAACTGGCCAGGATTGACCCCAGAAGGGTCCGAGGGCCACGTTTGAGCGCAGCTTGGTTGGAGGAACCACCACCTCCTCCTCGTCTTCCGCGGGACCCCTCGGCGTTCCCAGTGAGGAGTCTCGTTTTGGCCGGACGTACCCGCCTGGAGGGCCCCAACAGATACTCGCGCCCCATCAAGCGGTTCACGAACACCAGATCCGTCTTCTTCCGATGCGGGGTGCCTTTGGCCGTCGCCATGAATAATCTCACTTCATCGGATCGTTGGTGCTGCTCTGTTATGCTCTGTTATGCTCTGCATTTCTCCACTCTGGTCCGCTCCTCGAACATCGAGGAATCGAGGAGGTGTTTCGCCATCCTCGGCGTCTGGCGGTCCGTGTCGGGCCCTAGGGGCGTCGCCCATCGGCCTGGGGCGAACCAAACACCCGGGCGGCAACGACGAACCCCAAAGGGGCATGGCGACGGCCGGGTCGGACGAAAGAGGTAGCGGGAGGCAGCAAAGAGGAGGCTAGCGAACCTGTTCCCGCTGCCGATTTCCCCGGCGCCTCCTGGCGCCGGAGGTGCCGGAGGCCAGGCGAGGGCCGAGTCGGACGAAGGTCACGATCAACGACCACATCCGCATCGGCGCCCTCGCGGCCTGGATTCCGGGGCGCGACCCCGAGGATACGCGGTCCTACGGATGGTTCATGTCCGCGCCGGGCATGTGCGGATATACGGATGCGTGTTTGTGTCTCGCCCACGCGAACGTTCAACGTTCACGTGGGCGAGACACAATGCTACTTCCCCAATGGGGAAGCAGCGCATGAAGAGGTCAGCGAATCAGCTCCCGCAGCTGAGTTCCCCGGCGCCTCCCGGCGCCCGATGGCGCCAATGTGCATCGAGGCAGGGCGCCCGGCGGCGGGGCCGAGGCCAGCTGCAGGCAACTGATGCCGCACCCCCCCCCCGTTTTTCCCCTATCTCCCCTCTTCGTCCTCCTCCTCCTCACCTCCTCCTCTCCTCCTCCTCTCCTCCTCCTCCTCCCCCCCTCCTCCTCCTCCGCCTCCTCCTCCTCCTCCTCCTCCTCCTCTTCCTCCTCCTCCTCCTCCTCCTCTCCCCTCTCCGGGTCGGACGACCCGGAGAGGGGGGGGAGGGGGGAGGGGGGACACATCGGCCTGCAATCGCGACGCCTCGACGAGGGATCGGCGCGGCACCCTCGGTAACGCGACCGCGCGCCCCTGGGCGCGACGAGCTGCCAGAGCCGAAGAAGCGATTCGGGGTCGATGCACCCCCCCGTGTCCCGATCCCCCCGATTTCCTCGGCCTCGCAGTCCAATCCCGCGCAGTCGGCCTCACAATCCAATCCCTCCCCCTGGAGAGCCGGCCGGATCAAAACAATCACCAAAGGCCTCGGGTGACTGCATTGGCTGGCCTTGACGTTCCTGGAACAGTCTGCCATACCAAATTCCTTCTCCCACACTCTTATTGAGGCGCGCGATCATTTCCTTACCAATATCGCTGGGTTGCTGGCGGCAGCAACTCGGCTCGAGAGGTCAAGGCGATTTGATGCGCAACAACAACTGCCCGCCTAGGAAGCGAGCGCGGCTGGAGTCGCCCGGGCGCGCGGCCTGCGACAGCTCTCGTTTTTCGCCCAAGCTTACCACGCTTTCCACGCCATCACCGGCAACACGGTGACCGAGACGCTGCGAGTGTGTTCCGGGCGCCGCTCTGGACAGGTGGCGGTGTACCGGGTGTCGCAGCGACTCTGCGTCGCTCAACGCCCGCTCGCTCGGGCACTCGTCGTTGCGCGACTTCGAATGCGCGCTCTTCAGTGGAGCCACGTGGAGGCGAGTTTACGCGCGATGCCGTCGACAATCCCAGGCAAACACAAGACTGCGATGACGAGGCGCCCGTTGAACGGCGAGCTGACAAGCAGGGGTCTCGCGCATGTCTCGCAGCAGCCCGTCCGCGAGCGCCCCTTCTGCTCTGCGCCGGAGAGCGATCCGGTGGGGCACAGGAACGCCTGCCCCATCTTGCACGCTGTCCTGACAAGCCTTTCGCCAGAGCATGCGCTGCTGACGCCCGCGCAGTCCTGGATCCAAAAGTTGCCCACTGGCAGGGCGCAGCTCCAGTCTGTTTTCTCGCCATGCGGCATTTGCGCGCGCCTGCGCCGCTTGCTGCAAACAGGCCCGCAATTCTTCTCGCTACAGGCTTTGACCACGCATGCCCAGCGGCCGCGCGGGAGCCCCTGGGCCACGGGTAGCCCTGCCAACGCCGCCAGGTAGGAGCGGCGTTCCACGCGTGCCCGCCAGGCGACGTCATTCTCGGCAGCTTGCATAGCGCACGCGTCCGACGGCGGAGATCACAATCAAGGTGCTGCTCACGGGCGGCAGTCGCCACGCGGGCGCGTCAGATTTTCGCGGAGGCACCCGCGAAGCGCGCGTTATCTGCGGGGCATTTCTGGGTGACGTCGCAAACAACACTTCAGAATACGAGGCAACCATCTTGGCTTCTACACGCGCCCTGGCCAATCCGACCCCTGCATGCGTTTCCACGTTGACTTCTTGTCGTTTGCTCGACAGCTAAACTTGACATGGAGATTTCTGCCCCCCGAACTGTGGCCATTGCATACGCGGGCGCTCGGGCTTGCGAGGCGCCTTCGTTCCTCGCGCCGGGCGGGCGGCATCGAGATACTATATACAAAGATATATATATATATATACATATATATATATATATGTATACAGCGCGCTCAACGCCGTCGCCGCAGCAGGCCGTGCCCCGAGAGAACGCGAGGCGATTGTCGCCCTCAACTGGGAGCCTATCCTAGCTCCTGCCCCTTGGTGGCATCGCTCTGCCCACCTCCGCGGGTCGCCCCCCCCTCGCTTGCGGCGTCGCCCCCCACCCGCCGATCGGCCGGCCCGTCCGCCAGACTCCGCTCTGCCCCCCCGCCCCCCCACCACCTGCCGGCGCCCGCCCGCGCCTCTGCCCCCGCGTCTGTCGGCGCCCGCGCTGCCTGCGTTCACACGGACTTCCTGGTTCTAGGCTCGCGCCCCGCACGTTCTTCGCTCGAGCACCGTCGCGTCTCCTGCATCTCTCGGCAGGGAGAGTCAGCCGTAGGACAGTGCGCAGGGGCGCACTCAAGTAAGATGCATATTTCGGCATGACTCGAACGCTCTCGGCGTCTCCTCTGACGACGACTGCAAACCAGAGCACGCAATAACTTCGTTTGGCGGGTCGCGCTGGAAGACGGAGCACCTGCGCGCGCCCAGGGCAAGGTTCCGCTCCTGCAGGGCCCAGGCGAAGGTCTGGCAATCGCTGCCATCGGGGCCACGGCGGGGAACGCCAAGGAGACTACGGCGGCGATCAAAGGGCGACCAGGCCCGCGCGCGGCGGCGAGCAGCACGCCGCCGCGCAGCGAGCCGCCGAATAGTCCCGCTCAAGTGCGGCATCCCGCCCCGGGGCCCCCCGGCGCTGGAGATCCGAATGAAAGTCGCGGAACTGCCCGGCATTTAACAGAGATGCCTGGCCGCCCGCCACGCGCAAGCACCTGGAAGTCCAGGGAGGGCTAGCAAGCAGGGCCCGAGCATGCCTGAGAGCCCATCGCCACGCAGCGCGGGCACGACTGCGCGCGATCATAGATACCTGCCACTTGCCTCGGGGGCGCCGATGAAGTTGGCGACCCCGAACCAGACGCCCCGCGACTTGCCGACAGCGGGTGGCGAGCCAGAGCTTCGGAACTCGCGCCTGGGCATCATTCGCCGCGCAGCTGTTCGCACTCGGCGACAACGCGCTCGAACAGAAGGTCCACGCAGACGGCCTTCGAGATGAGACACCCTCTCTGCGCGGGCCTGCTTTTGGACTTGGCGAGCACAATCGGGGCGCGGTCGCTGACCTTGTTCTGAAAGAACTCTTAAGGGGACCCCGCAAGCAATCATGGACTGGTGGCATTGGACCAAGAGCCACAGTAAAGAAGCGACGAGTGCTGGGTACACGTTACACCTCGGCGCCAGTCCGCAAGTCGATCGATCTCCATCTCCGCAACGCCTTCCCAGATTTGACGCCACGTCGCATCGCTGGGCTCTCCTGCACGCGAACAGCGCGAGGCCCGGGCAGGCGCGGCAGCAGGCGGGCAAGCATCGGCAGTAGAGGCGCAAGCAAGAGGCGTCGATGCCGAGGTTCTTGCGCCACCAGATGGGGCGAGCATAAGGACCCCGTTCCTGCTCGCGCTCAGGCTGGCGGGAAAAACCCAGGACAGCCGTGGAGCCGTCAGACTGCACGTCAGAGATGTTGAAGTCGCCGAGCAGTACATGGGAGCACCGTAGCGGCCCCTGGTAAACCTCGACTTGTCGCGCGGGTGAGGCTTCGAAGCTGCTGAAGACTGGCCAGAGAAATGTCGCGACGAGGAATGTTGCAATGGAAGATGGCAAAGACAAGATCGCAATGGCGATACGCCAACACCAGAACACGGCCAAGAACCGCTCTCACACGTCGGAAGCCAAGCTTGACCGCGAGGTGCGCGGGGACAAGGATAGCAGCACCACTGCGGCTCCAGCGCCAGGAAGATACGAACATATGTTTTTTTGTTTAAATCAAAAAATATCCAGAACGCTGCAAAACTTCGGAGACTGCTGCTGAGTTTCCTCTACCCTCTTGGATGGCGACGATGGAAAGTCGCAGTTGAAAGCGCAGAGGATCCCAAGCTTCTTGGCGATGCTATGTGCCACGGTCATCTGGGAAAGTGGTGAAGGCCGCCTTGATGCTGAAGTCATGGGTCCCACATCACCTTTGGATAAGAAGACAAAGCGACGGGAGAGACCATCGCCTTCCAAGTCGCACTGCTCACCCACAGTATACCCAGCATCGCAAAACAACGGAGATATCGCTTCACGCACGAGGGTGTAGGGGATGTCCTGTTTGGCGCTGATGACGAAGAAAGCGCTATCCACCTCACGATCCCACCATGCAGAGCGCTCCACAGAGGAACGGGAGCGATCACGAGCCAAGTTCAGCTGCTTGTCGGGATGGGCGAGGCGGGCGGCGAGGTCGGCCAGCGAGGAGATCTGTTCATTGATCCGATGATGGGTAGCTTAGAACTTTCTACCCATATCCGAAAAGCGACGATCGACTGATTCTTGCATTCGGCCGACCAGCGGGGTAGCAGCCGACACAACTGCGGGACCGTAGTGCTTGCCCAGAACATCAGGAAGGGCATGGGCCATCGCCTCTCGGATAGCTCCCCGAAAAGCGTATTGGATTTCTTTGGACCAAGAGTCACGCTAATCTCGAGCTGAACGGCTTGCTGGGCCGACGAGGCTGCCCAGGGATCCACTCCTGCCTGGCCATCTGTAGCCTGCGGGGGTCGCGCCAACGGCCAGCGGCATGATGTTGCTCAGCAGCAACGGGAGATGGTTCGGCGGCGGGTGAAGGGGGAAGTGAGAAGCAGAGGCCTTCTCAGAAGGCGGCGGAACCTCTCAGAAGCCATCCAGGCTTCTGAAAAGTTGCTGTGTCTTCGAGGAAAAGTTCGAAAAATTCTCTGAATGCCACGGGACTTCCGTGCCTTCTGAGAAGACCCGCCCCTCCTCACTTCCCCCCCTCGCTCGCCGCCGAATGGTGGTCAAGAGAGAAGCTGAGCTCCGTGGGCGCGATCTCCACGGGTCGGCGACGGCGAGGGCAAGGCGGGGGCAGCCGGGGAGGCTTCCTCTAAGGCGCGGTCAGACGCGGAAGAAGCGGGTTCATCTCGAACATCATGTCTGGTTCGAGGGCGGACCTGGCTGGGAGAACGGAATCCTCGCGTGCTTCTTGATCTCTGTCCAGGGGCGGCCGACTCTGCACCACCGCGCTGCCTGCCGCAACGAGGATGGCAAGGCGTGGCGGGGGGCTCACTGTCAGCACGATCGGCACGGCGGCAAGGGCGACGGCTTCCACCTGCGAGTCCGTGCGACGAGGGGCCTCCAACTGCGAGTCACTGCGCTCCAGCTCCCTGGCTTTCTTGGATGCCTTGCCCAACTTGTCTGCAACCGTGATCTTGGCACGCGAGCAGGCAGGAAACGGACAGACCTCGTCTTACCCGCCAGCACGTGGGTCGGTGCGCGAAAGATGTGACTGCACTCCAGGACCTCACAAAAAAAACAAAATTAGGCCGCGGATTAGCGGCATCCGTGCTCTGACACAGGCAAAAAATCAGATTGAGCCAAAATGGCTACAGGGGAGGAGGAGGAGGAGGAGGAGGAGGAGGAGGAGGAGGCGGAGGAGGAGGAGGACGACGACGACGACGACGAAGACGGCGAGGGGGAGAAGGTGGAGAAGGTGGAGAAGGACGAGAAGAAGCAGGAGGACGACGAGGAGCATGACGAGGACGCGCAACAGAAGGGGCGGAAGCGGAGGTGGACGCGGAGATGCAAGAGGAGGACCGGAGCGGCCAGGCCTACCCTGGTGCCTGTGTCCTCCCGGCCGCCCCCACCTCTCGTCGCCCGCATCGTTTCTGCCTCATCGTCGCCGCCGACTTCGCGGCCTTCGCTGTCGCCGCCGTCGCCGCCTTCGGCGCCGTCACTTCCGCTTAAGTCGGGCCTGTGCTCGCCTGTCCTCCTACAGAGGGATTTTGGACGAAAATTAAGAAAATACTCGGGAAATACCCCCAAAATTTAATATAACAAAAAAAAAAAAAAACGTCCCCTGACGATTTGCTAAGACTACTTTTGAATATCCTGTAGAGGGACGTGCCCGACTTAAACCTCCGCCTTCGAAGCCGTTGCCGCCGCCGCCGCCGCCGCCGGCGTCATCGGCCATGCCGTCGCCGCCGCGCCCCCCGCGGTCGTGCCTCCCCGTCGCCCGCCGCCGCGCCGGCCGCGTGGGCGCCGGGCCCGCCACCGCCGGGGGCGGCCTCGGCTGCTCGAGTCGCAGGGCCGTGCCCCCCAAGCAGCGCCCCGGATCGCGGGCCAGGCCATGCCTACCAGAGGTGCGCATGCCATGACAGTGGGCACTCGAACAATCCTATCATGGAATTAATCCTGTGTTTGAACTGTGTAAACCATGTTCTCAAAATATTTCAAGCATGTTCTAACATATTTTAAACAGACTTGAAACGTGTTGTAGACATCTGGAAATTATTTGGCAGCACGGTTCCTCTCCGTTAATCGACCTCCACAAGCCTACTAGAGGTGTCGAGTGTGCGCGATCGTGCGTGCAGGTCCGCGGGCGAAAACTTCCCTGGCCAGGTCAGAACAAAGAAATGGTTTTCGCCCTGAGCGTGGCCTTCAAGGCCCCCAAGAGTGCTCCAGGAGCGCCCCATGGAACCCACAGGAGAGCCGAAGAGGGTCCAACACGGACCAAGAGTGC